CCCCAGCCATGGGAACCCCCCGGCATGGGAAGCAGAAGACAAACAAGCCCCCGCTCCGTGCTGATCCCGGCTCCCAGCCCCGCAGCTCAGCCCCAAGGTCCTACCGTCTCCCTGCGGAGCTCCCGAGGTGAGAGAAGCCCAGCGCAGCCCCTCTGCTGCTCCAGCCCCGGCTCTCCCGTAGGTGCTGTTTCCCCCTTTTATAGGGGCTGTGGGGCACGATCACTGATTTCCTGAATATCAGGTGTTTTACAGCAGCAGAATGTCAAAGTCAAACTGGGGAGCTGCTCCCTGGTTTGGGTGCAAAAGTCGTTGGGTGAGAGGTGGGTATCAGAGGTCATTTCCAACCTTAATGATCCTGTAATTCCATGAAAGGCAGCAGGAGCTGGGCAGTGGTTGGGGTTCTTAATTGGAAATCACCCACCATGTTCCTGTTATCCCGGATCACTGAATCATGAAAATGGACAACCTGTGCCAGGGCCTCCACTCTCCCAGCAAAGAATCCCTTCCCAATCTCCCATCTCTCCCTGCCCTCTGGCAGTTGGAAGCCATTCCCTGTGTCCTGTCCCTCCAGGCCTTGTCCCCAGTCCCTCTCCAGCTCTCCTGGAGCCCCTTTAGGCTCTGGAAGGGGCTCCAAGGTCTCCCTGGATCCTTCCCTTCCCCAGCTGAGCCCCCCCAGCTCTCCCAGCCTGGCTCCAGAGCAGAGGTGGGAATTTCCCAGTGTCTCTGCTTCAGCTTTCTGATAAATGAGAAAGCTGAAATGGGAAGGAAAGCCCATTTTTTCCAGCAGGTGTAAGAGGAAATAAAAGGTGGTCCCTGTTTGGCTGCAGGAGGAAAGGTTGGTGCTCCTGTCCTGGCTCTGGTGTCTGAGGATTCCCTGGCACAGCCCTGGCTCTCCCAGCAGGGCTGGGCTCTCCACACTCCTTCCCTGGGATGTGGAACGTGGCCAGCAGTGCCAGTCCCTCTCCAGGCCAGGGGAATTCCCAGTGTCCCCACTCCATCCCCGGAGCAGAGGCAGCCAGGGAAGGCTCTGGAACAGCAGTAAAACAGTATTAGCACGAAAAACAGTCTCTCCTGCATGTTCTGGGTGTAACTGTGGGAGTGTTCAGCTGAAATTCCCTGTGCAGGCTCAGGGCTTTCCCAGAGCCATGAGCAGCTCAGCCTGGGAGTGCCCCTGGGAGCTCCCCTGGGGCAGGAGTGGGATTCATCCCAGGGCAGGAGTGGGATTCATTCCTGGGGCAGGAGTGGGATTCATTCCTGGGCAGGAGTGGGATTCATTCCAGGGCAGGAGTGGGATTCATTCCCGAGGGATGTTCCCCAGCTGCTCTGGGAGGTGCCACTGGTGCAAGGGCCAGAAACTCCCAGCAAGTCTTGCCCTTCCTGCTCTGTACCTTCAGCCCTAAATGCTTTCCTTGGGCTCAGATCAGGATCCTTTCTTGCTTCCAGGCTTTTCCTTGACTTCCTCCTCTGATTCTGGGTGGGATCAGTGGGAGTTCAGCACCCCCAGCCAGGCTGTAAATCCAGTCCTGGCACAGCTTTGGAGGTTCCTGTGGCATGAGGGGCTCTGGGGGTTTTTATCAGCACCCATGGAGTCCCTTTTCCCCCTCCTGGCCCTGTGGCAGTTCCCAGGGACAGCTCCCAGCAGGGATAGTGGGATGTGGGGGGGGGGGAGGAGTAAATTAAATGTACAGGTGAGGAGGGAACAATGTTCTGCTGGAAAGCAATGCACTGATTCCACAATTTCTGGGATTTAGTCAGAGCCAGAACAGTGAGGGAGAGAAGGAGAGGGAAAGGAACCAGGCAGAGGAGGGGAAGAGAGAAACAGAGCTGGCACAGCAGGGGAAGGAACTGATTAGTGCAAGTCATTAATTAGAGCCAGAATTCATTTAGTTTGTGACTTAATCCTGTGTCACAACTCCAGTGGAGTTTCTCTTCCAAGATCTGGGACTTCAGCACCTTTCCAGACTGGGGGGAGTGCCTGGTGCTCACCCAAACTAAAGAGAGCAGAGGGAAGAGCAGCTCAGGTTGATTCCTGTCCCTTGGCAGGAGGAGGGACAGGGAGGCAGGAGGAGCTGGGGAGGAAGCTCTTCCCAGCAGCAGCAGGAATTCTGCTGCCCAGAGGGGAAGGTGGGTGTGAGGGATGTGTGAGGAGAATCCCAGGGGTGGGATCTGTCTGGTTTGGCTGAGCAGTGACTCGGGAGGAGGACGTGGAACTGTCTCCTGAGTCCTGCAGAGGGGAGGGAAGAGGAATTCCCGGGGCTGGGCTGAGGGAACAAAAGTGAAGTTTAGAAAGGACACATAAAGTGTGAAGAGGTTTTTCCTGGTGGTGAACTCTGACAGGAACTCTGTTAACTCTGCAGTGTTAACAGGACATTCCTGGGTTGGATTCCCACTATTCCAGGTGGGAAATAAATGGGGACTCACAGGGAAATAGCCTCAACCCACACATGGCAGGGCTGTCCATCCCTTTGTTTTGGGATAGTCTCATGGTTCCAGAGGGGTGTCCTGCATTCAGCCTGTTGGGCAGCGAGTGCTCCAAGAACAGAGGGGTGTTTGTGTCCTGCAGGTGCCTGTCCCTGACTCCAGGGCTGGGACTGTGTGTCAGATAACCTGTTCCATCCAAACAGAGCCTTGCTCTGCCCGTGCCTGTGTCCCAAGGTCTCTTTTCCCTGCAGGTTGGGAAGGGAAGCAGGCAGAGGGGCAGTCCAGCAGCCCCCAGAACTCCACCTCCAGCTCCTCTCCCTCTGTGAAGCTCGAGAACTCCCTGCCAGGGCTGGGCAAGAAGCCATTCCAGAGATCTGACAGGCTCCATGCAAGTAAGAGCCCCAGTGCCCTGCTCCCAGAGCTTTGGCTGCTCCAGGGCAGAACAAAAGCCTGAAAGAGCAGAATTGTGTTAATTCTGTTGCTGGGGGGACTTCTGGGGAGCCCTGGGAGGTGCTGCCAGTCTGCTGTGGGAATTGGGATAAATAATTAGGATGAATAATTCAACCTTCCATGTGCAAATCAGCCTCTCTCAGTCCTCCTCATCAGGGCTTTTTCCTGGGAATTTGCAGCTGTTTGAGAGCACAAAAGGACCTGCACTATTTGTCAGACCTTTTAATGTCCTTACACACTCTGCTAACATGAACAGGGAAAAAGAAATCCCTTCCAGATCCTCACCCTTCAGACCCTGCTGTGGTTTGGCTCCTGGCCCCTCACTGGGGTCTGGGCTTTCTCAGTCCTCCTGACCTTTGGGGTTCTCTTTACATTTACCAGGGGTGGTGTTGATCTTCTTATAGGATCACAGAATGTCCTGAGCTGGAAGGGACCCCCAAGGACCATCCATCCAACCCCTGGCCCTGCACAGACACCCCAACAATCCCACCCTGTCCCTCAGAGCCTTGTCCAAACCCTCCCTGAGCTCTGGCAGCCTTGGGGCCGTGCCCATTCCCTGGGGAGCCTGGTCAGTGCCAACCACCCTCTGGGGAGGAACCTTGTCCTGAGATCCCACCTGACCCTGCCCTGGCACAGCTCCAGCCCTTCCCTGGGTATCACTGCTGGGTTCCACTTCCTTTGGGTGCATCCCAGTCTGACTGGCCACACCTCACAGGGTTTGAGGCTTGGATCAGAAGTGCATTATCAGCAAAACAGGAGATATTAAACATCTGAGCTTAGGTGGTCCCTGTGGGTCCCTTCCAGCTCAGGACATTCCGTGATTCCCTGAAGTGCTTCCTGTGTCATCCCCCCCTGAACCAGCAGCACAGCCCCAGAGCTGGGGCACAAAGGGCAGTGCTGGACCTGGGGGCTCTCACACAGCAAAGCAGAGGGACAGCAAGGTCCCCCTGGGGTTCCCCTGTGTCTGCTGGGGGGGTTCCACACGAGCACAGAGAGCTGATGGGTTTTCCTGGAACGCTTTTTGCCGTGAACAAAGTGGGAGAGCCCAAGGAGAAATCCAGAGGATCAAACTGACCTTGACTGGAGGCTCGAAACAGAAAATTGATGTGGATAAAAGGAGTTCTAGGAACACTCCTGAGAACCCCTTCTTGAGTGAGAAGAGGGTGACTGAGCCAGGCTGCAGTGCCTCAGGTGTGGAGTGTTGTGGCTGGGAAGGACCTCCCACACTCTGCTTTTGGCTGCACGTGCAGAGTCAGACGTGATTCCCCAGCCCCAGAAGGGGTTCCTGCCGTGGGATGTGCAGGGGGGACTCCAGAGGGGTTGGTGTGACGGGGCCTGGCTGGTTGCAGGGCAGCTCAAGAGGGCCAAGTGCGCCGAGATCGACGTGGAGACGCCCGACTCGATCCTGGTGAACACGAACCTGCGGGCGCTGATCAACAAGCACACCTTCTCCCTGCTGCCCCCCGAGTGCCAGCAGCGCCTGCTGCTGCTGCTGCCCGAGGTCGACAGGCAGGTATGGAGGGGCTGGGGGGGCTCACACGGGGGTCCTGCCCAGCAGGGCGTGGAGCTGTCCCAGGCCAGGCTGGAGCCACCTGGGATAGTGGGAGCTGTCGCTGCCCCTGGCAGGGGGTGGCACTGGATGGGCTGTGAGGTCCCTTCCAACCCAAACCGTCTGGGGTTCCGTGTCCCTGTGGTTCCAGACACCTAAATCCTTTATTTATGTCAGTGGGAGCAACCCTTTTCTTCAGTGCAGGAGGATCAATGGTTGGAAAATCCTTCTGGGATTCAACTGGGGTTGTGTTGCTACCATGGATGTGTGGGCAGCAGCAGGGCTGTGGAGGGCTGGGCTGAGGTGAGGGTGAGGAGGAGCTCCCACAGCCCTGGGGATCCAGCCTGGAGCTCCCACAGCCCCCAGGATCCAACCTGGAGCTCCCNCTCCCCATGAAAAATCCCGGGTGGATTCGTCCCCCAGTGTGGGATCTGCAGGTGTTTCCCCAGCTGCACTGCTCTCTCTCCCATGGTCCTTGGGAAGGAAATGCTTTCTGGGGGTTGGATTTACTCCTCAGGAAGGGCAGTGTCTGGGAGGAGTTATGGATGCAGTGCAGAGGGGTGGGAGTGCAGGGACTGTGGGATCTCATCCCAGCAGATGGGGTCGGGATGTGTCCCCACAGGATTTACCTCTCCCAGCCCTGCCCCTTCTCCTGACCTTTCCCAGCTGAGAAGCAGCACTCAGGATGGCATTCCAGAGGTGCCTGTGGCCTTGGGGAAGGACCTGCAGTGAGGCAGGATGAGCTAATTAGGGGCTGTTGTTCAGGGAGTGGTGGAAGTGGCCCAGGTTGCCCAGTGAAGCTGTGGCTGCCCCATCCCTGGAAGTGTCCAGGGCCAGGCTGGAGCCACCTGGGCTGGTGGGAGGTGTCCCTGCCCGTGGCAGGGGTGGGATGGGATGAGCTTTAAGGTGCCTTCCCACCCAGACCACCCTGGGATTCGATGATTCCATGAAACAGGCTCAGGGTTTGGTACAAACCTCTTTCCCTCCCCGTGCTCAGCAGCTCCTCTTGGAATCCTGGAGGGGTTTGGGGCTGGAAGGGACCTTGAAGCTCATGTTGGTTCCCCCCTCCTGGCATTTTGTGTCACATCTTCCACTGCCACAGTGGGCAGGACAAGTTATAAACTGCAGACAAAAAGAGCAAATACAGGGAAGGAGGCAGCAGGGCTGGACAAACACAGTGCTCTGAGTGAAAGGAGAACTAAAGGGAGTTTTCCTGTCCCTCATCCTGCCTGTGCCCCACACTGGGACTCAGGAGCACTGGTTGGGTTCAGCCCTCCCTTCTCCAGTGCCCAGTAATTCCAACATTCCCAGAGGGAAGAGGGAAGGGGCATTTCTGAGGGAGAGCCTTTAACCCTGGGACTCTGCTCTGCCACTGGAGTGGTCCCTGTCCCCTGGGGCTCATCTTCAAGGGGCACTTTGGAAAAGCTTTCTTGGGCTTGTTTGTGGGTTTTTGGCAGGTCTCCCTTTTTATATCCCTTTTTTTATTTTTTTAGAAACCTTTTGAGCTCAGTAACAGGAGGTCAGTTCACTCCTGCCACGTTTTGGTTTGGCTGAATGTTTTTCTAACCTGTGGTGGAAGTGGCTAAATAGGAACTATTTAATAAATGGGAAAACAGGATCCAAGGTGTCTCTTCATTGGCTGGATCCTTCTGTCACTGCCTCGTTGGTGTCTTTAAACTCTGAAATCACTTCTGCTTTCCCTGGGGGGCAGATCCTGCAGGTTCCTGCACGGTTTTATTCCCTCCCCTGGTTCTGAGTGTGTTGTTATTGTCATTATCCTCGTTGTTAATGTTATTGTTTGGGACAGTGATGATCTCCAGCGAGCAGTCCCACTGCACACCCTGTTACTTCCTATTCTGAAATTCCAGGGGATCCTTGATCTGCTGTAATTTATTCTGCTCTGGGGGCTGGCTGGGTTTGGATTTCAGCTTTTGCAAACAGACACTTTGGTTTGCAGTTTAACCAAATCCCTCCTTCCTTCCTTGGCTCAGCCACGGGGCCTTTGGGGCTCTGTCCTGACTGCTGCTTGAAGAGTCTGTTCTGAAACAAAAAGGGGTTTATTTTCTTTCCTTTAGTGTTTGAATCTCTGTTACTTTGCTAATTAAAAATCCTTCCCCTGACGGGCAGTGCCTCTGTTGAAGGTTTTTTAGGAAGCTGCCACTTGCTTCTCCCCAGGAGAGGGAATAAATTACACGGTGGTACTTTCACTTTGAAGTTATCTGTGGATGTTCTGTGACCATTAACTTTTAGCTGTAGGTGCAAAGGGGGGAAATCTCCTCTTGGCAGTGCACTTACCATGTTTGATCCCACTGTCCCCTGCCTCCCACTGCACACACAGCACCAGGGGCTGGTTGGGTCAGAAGTTGTGCTCAACTTTTGCCGGAGCAGGAGGAGGATCCAGCAGTTTGTGCCGTGCCTGGATGGTTTGTAAGGACCCAGCTGAGCTCCCCCCTGTCCCCCCTGTGCCCCCAGGCCCTGAAGCAGCAGCAGCAGAAGCAGCAGCAGCAGCAATGCCGGGCGGGAATGCCCGTGTCCTCTAACCAGCACGTCCTGCTCAAGGCTGTCAAGGCAGGCGGGGATCCCACCCCAGGTAAGGCAGTGTGTGCAGGGACACGGGGGTGGGAGAGCCCCTCTGGGGGTGGGAGAGCCCCTCTGGGGGTGGGAGAGCCCCTCTGGGGGTGGGAGAGCCCCTCTGCTCCATGAGCTATCCAGGGGACAGCAGGGAGACTGCTCTTTGCTGTGCTGTTCTGCTCCTGCCATGGCCCAGCTCCTGTTTCCCTGCCTTTGGTTTCGGTGGGGATGCATTTGGGGCAGGGATGGATCTTGGATGGATCCCACTGTGCCACTGCCTGGTTAAAGCCTCTCCCCGTGCTCAGCTGCTGCCCAGGGCTGGGCACATCAGGGCTGTTTGTCCTGGCACTGATGTTTTCCCAAGTGGCTGCTCATTCCCCAGGGTGGATTCCATGTCCTGTGCCAAGGAGCAGGTTCTCTCCTGAGAGATCCCAGCAGGTTTCCAGCATTTGTGCTGGGTTAGGAGTGAAGGAGGTCCCTGCCCTGCTCTGGCTGACCCAGCAGGGCAGGAGCTCCCTGAACAGCAGCAGCATTTCCCAGGGTATCTGGAATTCTTGGGAGTCACTTCCAGCCCGTTTTCCCTGAATTCTTTCCAATGTAACTGATTGCCACGGTGGGTCCTGGCTCTGTCAGCCTGGTTCTGAGTCACAGAGTCATCAGATCCCAGGCTTAGGTGGGAAGGGACCTTAAATCCCATCCAGTCCCACCCCCTGCCATGGGCAGG